CTAGGGGGATTTATCTATTTACGAATATAACATATACGCTAAATTATTTGCACTATTTTATGAAACATAAGTTATTCGCTATATTCAGTAACATATTCGCAATAATCACATAATAAACATAACATCTAGTAGTTCACCTGTTATAGTGTACCATATTTAACTATGCATATTTGTGTTAAAACCTTCGAATATTTTGCGTATATTTCGTATATAAAGAATATTTTTTTTATTTGAATATACTGTCATTTTCTGCGTTTATTCCGCATCTAGTACTACACTGAATTTTGACGGTTGTGTTTGAACAACCAACTCAGCAGTTGTGTGTACATCATGTTAATAACATGTCAAATCAGCGACCAGCATCAACACAATATTTCAAGAAAATTGAAAAGTTTTTGGATTCTAATTTTCCAGAATTCATAATTAATATTTTAGCAAGTTCGGGATTCGACAGTGAACTTTCTTTAATTTCATTAAAAGAAGAAAACATCAAGGCCATAACAACACATTTGAATGAAAATCGGCATTTGGTAGCGGGTACAATATATGAAGATCAAGAAACAATTAAATTAAAGCCGGGACATATATCCATCATTTTAAATATTCCTAGATTCATCAGAGATTTGAAACTAGCGCAAAAAAAACAAAAAAACATTAAAACATCGAAACGTTGACAACAACTTTGATCCAGCACAAAAATTACAAGAAGCTGAGAAGAAACTCATTGAAAAAGTGCGTAACTATCTAGTAAAAATTAATCTGAAACTAACTGTTAGTGAGAATTCTATTTTGGACTTGGAACGTGTTGAAAGTGAATATAAATGTCGATTCGAATGTCCCAGGTGTTTTAAAAAAATACCGTGTACATTTAAAAATTTTTGGATCATAAGCAACCTTCAAAGTCATTTGAAACGACATAACCAAGAAATATATATCCAATTGAATGAGAATGACACTGAAGTAAATGATCTGCTAACAAATGCAAGGAATATTCTAACTGATACATCAAAGCAAACATTGCCAACATCAAATACACAAAACGCTAGACAAAACGTCAATTCTTTGCCGCCAATCGAACACCTCGATAATTCTGGCGCCAACTGAACTGTCAAAAAAAACATTTTCTCGAACACTGTCACATCGAAACAGTACCACTGTCGTGCAACTAAATTTAACTTTGAAATAAAACGTACATAAAATCGCCAGCATAATGTTTTACGTAGTATATTTAATAAATCCACGATTAAATGTGATTGTGCCACAAAAATGGATCTTAAACCACGAAAAACAACTCGAAAAAGATATGTTTTTTGGTGTGAATTCGAATCAAGTTGTCCTGTGCTACTATTCATCTGATGCGTATAACCATCAGGGTGAACCAGATACAGAAATTTTACCAAATTTCAATTTGCCAATCGATTGTGAATTCCCTAATGAAGGGTGTTACAAAGCCAAAATTAAAGTTTTTAAAAGTAAGTATCGATGAAATTTCTTATATACTGTATATAATATTCAAAAATATGGAATTTTATTAGTGAACTTTGATGATGCATTGGCTTATGCGCAACGTCAACGTCAAAGAAATCCACCAGTTTATAACGTTGATCGCTTGTTTGAGTTACCGATTCCAGCTCTGACACCAGATCAAAATAATGCCGTTGATCCACTAAACGTAGATGACAACGTCGATCTTAATGGTACTGGAGATGGTCCACCAATTGAACATGCTAGTGAAGAAGCAAATAATTTGAACGGTGGAAACGAAAACATTGTTGATTTACAGCCATGTAACAACGATGAAGAATCAAACACGAATGATAACATGGTTACTGGTACAATCAACACTGACGGACTCAATCAACAATCTATTAGTGAATCTATGGTTGAAAATCATACTGAAAACTTTGAAAATGTCACAAGAGCTAATAATGGAACCGATCAACGAAATGTTGAATCGATGGCTGAAGAGCACACCGAAAACATTGAAAATGCCACAGGAGCTAATGACGAAACAAATGAACTATCCGGTGGTGAATTGATGACTGAAGAACACATCGAAAACTTTGAAAATGCCACAGGAGCTAATGATGAAACAAATGAACAACCCGATGGTGAATTCATGACTGAAGAACACAATGAAAATATCACACTAGGTAATGATGAAATTGATCAACAATCTGGTGGTTCATCTCAGTTTGATAATAATATCGAAAACTTAGCCGACGCTACAATGTCCAATGGAAACAATCAGCAATCTGATTTATTATTTGGTTCAATTAAAGGCATGGGTGTTCCGTACATCGCACGACATACCCAGAATAATGACGCAATAAATGAACTATTGGAAAATACGGTTGAAAACAGAATCGATGACGATGTATCTATCATGATTGGAGCAGCAGGTGTACCAAAACCAATGTTTATGACTTCAGATGAGCTCGTCAAAAGAGAAAATGACATATTGTCCGGCAATAAGCCATACAATGAAATCGTAAGCAGTAATCTCTATACTCTTTTCATTTTTATAATTTTATATATTTTTAAATGGTAATATATGTTGGATATTTGTACGTATAATGCAGGATGGTGGTGATCGTATTTACTTGGTTGGTGGAATTCGGATTTCAATTCCACTGCGTGTGATTAATGCCTTCAAGTCTTGGGTCGATAGTCCAGATGCCGATAATTTGCATTTCGATGAAATCTTCGTTCATACGCTACTGTTGACAATGGTCACAGCAGCTGATTTGGTTGCATCGGAAATAAGTGATCCGGTTTTGTCATTCATTTTTGGTATTAATTCTTTAACGATTTTAAATGTATAAATGTACTGAACTCATTTCATTTTTTTTAAAGATTTGCTTGCTATTCGAGTAAAGGACGATGAAAGCCGTTTGGAAAAATTCAACGCACACGTGAACCGATTGGTCGAGAAAAAACGCCGAGAACAGTTGCAAAGAAAGTGATTTTAAATCAAAAGCCTAGTCGAAAGCAATTTACTTTTTGTTATTGCCTTATTAATGCGTTAGTTTTATGATTAGCATATTTTTATACCAAGAAATACCTCAAAAATACTTTATACTAGACTTTAGAAGAAACTATAAGTTTTCTATGAGAGTAAAAAAGCCTAGAAAAAAAACTCACAAATTAAAATCCACATATAATATAATATTGATATAATTTAAATGAAGCATTATTTTTTGACGCAGCAATGAACATAAAAAGTTTAAGATTAAATTATTCAATCTTAGATAAATATAAAGAGAATATAACATAAGCAAGAGGCCAATTAAAAAGTTAAAATTATTATTTACTTTATCTTATAAAAACAAACAAAAACCAAAGTGAATCAAATTTATCATTAAAATTTCACTACTGAAAAACCAGTGTAAGAGCTAGGTGTAAAAGTAAATAATTTAAAACTACAAATCATACGTTCTTTAAACATAAACGTCCTGAAAATAAATAAAACCAAATAATAAAAAATTACATGACAAAACAAGAAAGTATTAAATTCAGGCAAAAATCACACAATAACAAATTTAAATTCAAGCAGGAAATACTTCCCAAATTATTTCACATTTATAATAAATTAGGTTTGCATCGGTTTGCATCAAATATTTCATATCTGAAAAACTAAAGAATAGAATTGGGTTACTATTGAATTCAACTACAATTTAATAAATGTCCTTCATTTTGAGAATAAATAAAATTAAAACATTTTATGTTGAAAAGTAAAACAGAAAAAGTACAAAAAATAAAACTCAAAGATTTACAATCTAGTTTACACTAGAGTTTACCACAATTCAATAGTAGTACAAATGAAAACATGTCCAAGTCGGAAATAAGCAGATAATTTATGCTGTGATTGGTGAATAAAAAAGTCTGACATATTTTTTTAACTATTTATTAAAGTTTATACATAAAAAAAATTATTTAAAAAAGCTAATAAAAATTATTTTCAATGAATAGTTTTTTAAACGTTTTTATTTTTGACGTTTGCGTACTAATTTTAACATTTCTTGTTTAATATCTTCTAAGAATGTGTTGTCGAAGCAAAGTTCTTTTTCGGCATCTTTGAAAACTGGATGTGATATTGTCACTATATAATTCTTAATGTTTGTGTAGAAACTGTTACCGTTTAAAATTTTCTCAATTATTCCACGTTCATCAATACCATACCATAAAGCTAACACTTCAATTTCTCGTGGTTTTTTCTTACTTTTCTTATCTGGTTTTACTAAAGCAAAGTCCCAGGTGTATTTTGTTTCTTTAAAAGTTGATCCAACATATTGAAAACTCAACACTGAACCAAAAAGAAATTTTGTCCCACATCGATCAAAGTTATTATTGACGAAAATACACCACTCTCCAACTTGAATTTGTGGGTTTTCAAAAATGCCACTTGGTCTTTGAACTCGCTTGAACTGCAATTGTTTACAGCTGGATTTTTTTCCATCTTGATTTTGTACACGTTTTAATCGGTCACTGCTTAATCTTTGTTTAGAGTCAGTTAATAGCCAAATTAAATGTGATTTTCGTATAACTTTAGATTTTCCATTATTGCACATGACTTTCACATAAGGACCAGAATTGTCTGTATTTAATACATCTTCACCAAAATCTGGGAAATTCGAACATTCAATTTCTGTTGGACAATCATCTTCCGTGAATTCATTATCGTCATCATCATCATCATCATCATCTAGTGTAGCTGTTTTTATATCAGTATGCTTAAGTGTAGATGACCGAATTTCATTCATTTGCACATTCATTCCTAATGCTGATGCATCTCTTAGCGCATTTTCTCTTGCCTTTTGCATTTCCAGTTTAATTTCCAAATCAGAGGGCAAGTTGCAATGAAATTGGTTGAATTCAAGTTTCTTGTTGCGCGGGAATTTTACATTTGAATTCGCCAATTTAGAATAAATTATATCATTCTGCAGTTCTATTCGACCTACTAAATGGAAGAGTTCCAATAACGTGAAATTTATTTTAGTGTAGTTCACAGTGCCCATAGATCGCATTTGCCGAAAACTTTCCTCGCACGGTTGACTACTGAACAAATGCGGTATGAACAATTCCGGTTTATTTATGTTCCGCAAATATCTCATAAGTAAAATTAAGTTGTGTGAATTTATTTCGATGCATTTTTCCAAATTAGATGTGATGAAATTATTCATCAAAGTGTAAATACTTTTATTCGCTAAAAATAGAAATAAATAATTATTAGTGTTTGGAATATTAAAAATCTAGTTAAAAATATAGTTTTTGTTGATGTACCTGGTCTTTTTAGCCACACTTTCCAAGCTCGCAAAAAGTACATTGCATGCCAAATACGATATATCCTTTCATTGGGTTGAAGGCCAACATCTTTGAATGCAGTAAATATTTCAAAACAGATTGTTAAATACATAATTGTGGCTTCACTGTCAACAACCAGATCTTTGAGTGCCTCACGAACACGTTGATCTATGGTTTTTTCCAAAGATTTGATATTCTGACGATCATCGGGACATATATCGCTCATCACCAAGCCGTGTCTATCTTTTGGAAAATCATTGATCAATATTTTCAAATGCGAGACGCTGACGATCTTATCTCCCATAGGCATAATAATTCCTGATTTTAGCATTCGGTTTCTGCCTTTACAGCCATTGTGATCGTGGTCTTGCATGTGATACGATTGTTTCATATGTTCATCTTGAAACAGTAACTCTTCATCAGTACCTAGATGACTGATAGTTGGAGTTTTATACTGCATGCATTGTAGCAGACGTGTATCACCATCGGATGAAAACCCCAAAACGGTTATACCATATCTGAAAAGTTGATATGGATTAATATCATGTCGTGGATAACGAATATGAAAGTAATACCTGTGTAACTGTTCTTGTGTATATTTCCATCTGTTCAGAACATTTTCCGCATTAAATTTATTGTTTGTACCAAATATTTCTAATATAAATGGTGGCACTCCCACTACGATTGATTGCGCCAAAACTAAATAGACGTGCGTAGATTTTTCATAATCCATAAATTTCGTTATTTCTTCTGCCGATGTTGCCAAATATGTTGAAGCTATTGGAATTCCGGTTTTCTTATCAAATGGTAACACCAGACCGACTAGCTGATTGGTTTGTGGGTCGTGTTGAATTTTGGTGACGATTCCGGACGCATCTTCACAAATCCACACATATTTAGGCAAACGAAGTGTATTCAAATGGTTGTCAAGCTCTTTCAATCTTAATTCACCTTCTGTGATTCGACATTTGCTTTGATTGATGTAACTAACTGTTGACAATTAAAACAGAATTAGATGTTTAATGCATAAAATATTGGAAATTCTTAAAATATTACCAATCGTAAGCGTTTTTGGAATTGGCAAATTAGCGCATAAAGTATCATAACATGCACGTCCACACATCAAATAAATGTATGTTGCAAAATGTCGAATGGTTTCACTGTATCGAAAACCTTTTGGTTGCTTGCCTTTATTACTCTCAACCGTTTCGAGCAGGCTTTTCATTATCGATGTTAGTTGTGGAAAGTGAGGAAATAATTTCTTTACATCTGTCATTGACTCTTGACGGCATTGATCAATATATTGAGGAATATTCAAAATGAGCTGTCGATGGCCTGGTAAAAATTTGAAAGGTTTTGTTGATTCGTACGGAGTCCCCAAGAGTAATTCTCGTTTTGTTTCAACAAATTCTTCGATCGCACCAATTGTATGAAAATCCAAACTCTTTAGAGCAAGAACACAGTCAAATCCAGAAGACCGCAGTATATTTCTCATGTATTCTGGTATTTGTGAATTTTGATCTAACTCTTCAAAGACATCCTGTTATGATTTCGTGAATGTTAGAACATGTCAATATCTTTATTAATAAAAATTAAATTAACTCACCATTTTTTCACTGAAATTTTAACAACCAATTTATTTTTCGTTGAAACACGTTAATTGATCACATATAAACAAACAACATTTCTGCGCCAAAACTATGACAATGTTCGCTGAAATGTCAAAGTCGCTGATACTTCAGAGAAAAATCTAGTACTGCGAAATATTCAAAATATATGCAAAATAATCGTACTTATACGCTGGTTTAGAACAAATTTGTAGTATATTTGTATTAATGTTATATAATCTTAATATTTGATCATTTTTTACTCAGATAAAAACCCCTAGATAAAATGTTGGCTAAAATGGTACTTCAATGTGTTTTCTTAATCTATGGCCCAAGGGCTTTCCAACCATACATCAATCGCGGCCAAAGGTCTTTTTGGTGTGGATATTGTATAATTCAAGTATATATAGCGAGTCGACTTTTCAACACACTAACGTGGTTTCGTTACTCGCACTGCCGTCCGCCATTATAATAAAAATAAGAATGGTCAGAGTCAGGATATACTTTTTATTCAGACGTCAAAATA